AGTAAACAGTTGTGCAGCAAGTTCTTTATTTGTATAGTAGTAGCTACTAAGAAAGTAAATAAAGAAGTTAAAATAAATGATTTTGAGATATTTAGGATATCCTGGTGTGGGAGAAAAATGATTATGTATATAATAGGATGATTTTCTCGTATACATGATAAATTGGTGACAGAATCAGAAGCAAAATTTGAATCTAGCGCCACATTTGAACTTCTTAGTCCACCTATCGACAAAATGCTAAAGCTGGTAGACAGATTTAATTTCAGAAGAGGTACAAGGAAAATGTTTCACTAGTAACCCGTATCACTGACAGATGGAGTAGCGACTGTAGCGGATGTAGGTAATGTAAATTTCTATTTTATCAATGTTCTCGAATTCGTTGATTCGAAATAATAAACACAAGCTTGCGGAGTTTTCTGTCTCAGGATGGAGACCGCTTACCATTTTGTGGTAGAGTCGCGCTCAGCATTACCGATAGTTCACGAATATGAGCACGGTAGCAAGAAGCGAATTTGCTATATACTGCATGTATGTATGTTTGCTGTGTAATGTTTTCAATTTTTAGCTACAATCTCACGCTGAAATATTATACATTGTATATTGAGGGTCGACTACACTGTAAAATATAAACCAAATTTCTGTGCTGCAATTTCACATAGCTTTCTAGCTGACAATTTATTTTGACAGAGGGTGCGAGGAAGCTTCAGGTTCAGATTCAGAGTTGCCGACATTTGGCTTCCCCCTCCATACCAACCGGCGCTCGCCGCGGCTGGACTCCCCCCTCTTGCCACGCGATTCGACTTACCCCACGAGTACCATGGCTTAGAACGTTACCTATATACCTACTGCGTATGCGACACGAACATTTAAATAATGAAAATCTTCCATCTTCCAATAGTGATAGAGACATTATTATATTGTACAGTGTAGTATTATTTATTATAGAAAACATATATTGTTCATTTTAAACTTTTAGATCGAAATATCTCGAAAATAATATAATTTTGAGAAAAATGTTAAATATAAAAGTTACTCGATTTTAAGGAGAAAATTCAACTATAGTATATACTATAGTATATAGTAGAGACTCTCTTATCCGACTATTTATTTTTATAATATTCTGCTATCCAAACGTACTATTATCTAATTATTGTATTATTTAGATATATTATCAGCTAGTAGAGAATTTGAATGAAATTTTTAGATAATAGAATGTTTTGGTATCAGGATATTACAAAAATAAAGCCTACGTATTTTATTTATTGTTTTTCGTTTCTGATCGTTTAGAACACTATTTGGAGGGTAACTTTCTTTCTTTAAATGTAAATCTATATTCTTATCTACAGCTTTTTATTCTCTGCGAAGAAAAGAATAAACTATTTTTTGCAACACTTCATAATCGGATTTTATTTTACAAGGATATTTAATAAAATGAAAAATGTTTTCACTTGTGTGGTTTTGATGCTACACAAAAAATCGTAGTTCTCATGTTTCGAAAATGTAAACAACTCGTGCGTAAAATATATGTCGTTTTAGAAATACATTTAGATTTAAAGTTTTCGAAAGAGCACACAGTGTATGTATATTCAGTTTTTTTGTATAGGAGTTTCATTAATTTTTGTTTACATTCTATTAACACCTTTACACAATTCGTTTACGTTTCTCCAAGTGCTTTTAATTCTCTTCAGTTATACGTACGTTCTACTATGATGATTCTTGCGAGCGGAAATCAAATATCATATGCAATAATTAAATACGTACAACCTACCATATTCATCAAACCCGGAGACATAAAATGATTCGCGTGCTTTCAGATGTAATTTATGCGGACGTTTGTCAGCCTGCGACAAGTTTATACGACACGTAGTCGAATAAACCTCGAGATTTTCTGCAAACGTGTCGTACTCGTTTCGGCAACCCGGAATCCAACACACGTATGTATGTATACCGAAATTTCACGTAGATACGTGCATTGAAATACACGGATTTCGATACATGTGTTACAAATCACACGGATCAAAACACGTGTATATATTAATTGCACTTGTACACGTGAAAATGAGATACGCGTAAAATAGAGATCTCTAGTTATTATGCAATATATGCGACGTTTGAGCTTAATTTCATCGGAAAAAATATCTCCAATCGATTCGTGACAATAAATTTTATTTATTAATAAAATTGGTTTTTTGGTTAATAAATGGATGTAGGCTGTACGTGTATTACAATTTTACCTTCGAAGCTGGGAGTCCTAAGCTGGGAACCACCAACCATAATCGAGTAAGTAACTCATGTTATTGTAAACGTTTTACCATTGCTCGCTGATAGCAATAAAATGATCGTTACACATGACAGCCTTTTTTTAGGAACAGTTTCAATGAACTGGTAATGTTTTTCTGATTAAGAGAAGTCCAAGGCTTTCGACGATATATTTTAATTTGTGTAATTAATATTTAATTAATTTAATTTGTGTAATATATTTAATTGTAATATTTAATTTATTTAATTTGTGTAATATATTTAATTGTAATATTTAATTAATTTAATTCGTGTAATATATTTAATTGTAATATTTAATTAATTTAATTTGTGTAATATATTTAATTGTAATATTTAATTAATTTAATTTGTGTAATATATTTAATTGTAATATTTAATTAGTTTAGTTTGTGTAATATATTTAATTGTAATATTTAATTAATTTAATTTGTGTAATACATTTAATTGTAATATTTAATTAATTTAATTTGTATAATATATTTAATTGTAATATTTAATTAATTTAATTTGTGTAATATAATATGTGCGAATGTCTGCATACAAATACATATACGACGATATTACAATTACGACGCCGCAATTGTTTATATGCCTTTCGTAACATTTTCGTACCAGAAAATAGTATCTTCCGTATTAAAACGAGATGTTTATTGTATAAAGCTTATCATAAGAAATTATATGTAGTAGCGGGGAAATTTGTTAACTCCATTTATAAACTACAAATATGTAAAATCATACTTACGTTCTATAGATCCATTGGTCTATTACATATAAACAGTCGGGCGGCATTGTACGTGTGTAGAAAAATTGTAAGTAAAAAATACGATTAAAGGGAGCGCAGCCAGGCAAAAAGCAACCACCAGTAATTTTACAGATAATATTTAAAAACTATTGATAGCACGTATCAAAACCAAGAGACCATTTTCAAAACGTTCCTTTATGCGAACAGAGAAATTCAAGTGTTCTGTTTTTCGTGACCCTACTTGTATAACTAAAAATTTAAAATAAGGATACCGCCATGTGTTCCTTGACATTAATGTCAATTGTGTATCGTGGGATTCTCCTGCGTTTTCTCCTGCAATTCTCGTTCTTCGAAATATTTGAGCGACCTAATTTCGTTGTTATGTTGACGAACACAAACGAAAGTAATCTTAAAGCTTTGATATATAAAAATGATATTTAAAAAATTTAAAAATCGATGTTACCGCATTCAGAAAGATTGTGCGATGTTTTCAGAAGATTATAAAGAATGGTTGAAGGAATTATAGTAACCGAGCACCCGAGTACGTACCCGGTTTCCAGCGTCAGGGTTACTGAACACACTACAGATTGTTGGACTATAAGTAATGAATATTTTAGAGGGTCGTTCCCCGTGTGCCGAAGTAAAACGAAAATTCAATCTAACGAAATAGCATGCAATTTCAGATTTATTTCAAAATTAAAATTTCTGAAGCCAAATACAGGATTAATTTATTAAGATAAATCATCATTTTGATTCCAATAATCTGTGAAGCTAGTGTTCCGAATACAAATCAAGTTATGTTTTTCCTAAACGAATTAAAGCACAAGCCTGGCTTTAGTCGAATAACACCACGTATGTTGGACTTTACATCACTTTAAATTCAGGAATGTGGGTTTGATTAACGAAAACGATACAACTATAATATCGTTTCTGTTGAACGTGCCCGAGTTTCTGAATTGAAAGTCATTAAAAGTAATGATATAGTATAAATTGAAAGATCTCAGCTACGACACTGTGAAGTCAATTTTAGGAAAGTCAAGAGATCACTGATGGAATGCTTAATTTCTATACGAAATACTTCTTTCCCGGATTTTTGAAAATATCTTATAAATGATGATTATCCTAAAAGAGTACATTCTGTACATAACATATCGCTTAAAACAATACAACTAAATATCGGGTTCGTTATAATCACAGCCTTGTTAAAAAGATTCGCATCGTCTTAGTGCATATCACTTTGCCACTTTAGAACTTTTCACTAGTTAATGATGCTAAAGTATTTTCCAGGGGCAACAGTTTCTCTATTTTGCAGGGATTCAAACATGTGACGGCAACCACGTACATCAGCCAAGTGTAAAACTGTTCTGTCATTATTGTCCTTAGCACTAAAATCGGCCAGTTTTTCATTGATCAGAAATTGTATCATCTCCAAGTTACGGGAGAAAGTAGCCATGTGTAAAACTGTTCTGCCCTTATTGTCTTTAAAATTAAAATCGGCCATTGTTTCATTTGTATCAGAATTTAAACAATCTCCAAATTACCAGAATCAGCAGCTATGTGCAAAACTGTCGTACCAGTATTGTCTGTAGCATTAAAATCGGGCCTTATTTTCATTTATCAGAAAAATCACATCCCAGTTACCATGGATTGCAGTAGCCATGTGAAAAACTGTAGTGCCGTCATTGTCTGTAGTATTAAAATTGGCCTTTTTTCTCGTTTGTCAGAAATTGTATCATTTCCAAGTTACCAGAGGGTGCTGGGGCATGTGCAAAACTGTTATGCTATTTATTGTCTCTAGAATTCAAATCGACCGCTTTTCCGTCGACCAAAGATTTAAACGAATCCAAGTTATCAAATGTAGCAGTCGTGTGTAAAACTGTCGAGCCAGTATTGTCTTTGGCATTAAAATCGGCCTTATTATCATTCATCAGAATTTCAGCTATCGCTCAGTTATCGGTCGTGTGTAAAACTGTTACGCCTTTATCGTCTTTAGCACCAAAATCGGCCTCTTATGAATCTAGGAGGAATTTAACTACCTCCACCTTACCAAAGGCGGCAGCCGAGTGCAAAGCTGTTTTACCATTATTGTCTTTGAGTGCAAAATTGGCTCCTTTATCTTTTATCAAATATTTGACCATCTCCAAGTTACCGCAAGCAGCTGCCGTGTGCAAAATCGCTTTGCCATTATTGTCTTGGGCATTCACATTGGCTTCCTTTTCGTTTAACAAATATTGGATTATCCCCCACTGATGGGTGTTAGCGGCCGCGTGCAAAATAGACATGCCGTTATAATCTTTGGCATTAACATCGACTAGTTTATCGTTCACCAGAAATTTAATCAGTTCCAAATTACCGGAAGTAACAGCCGCGTGCAGTACCGTCATGCCGTTATTGTCTATAGCATGATAATTGGCCCCTCGTTCAATGATCAGAAACTTAACTACCTCGAAGTTACCGCAGATAGCAGCCGTGTGTAAAACGGTCATACCATTATCGTTTCTACCTTCAATATCGACCCGTTTACGCCTTACCAAGAATTTAACTATCTGCAAATTGCCACAGTTAGCAGCCATATGTAAGACCGCTATGCTGTTATCAATTTTCATGAAACAATCGGCTTCTTTTTGTACAGGTGCCTCAAATGTAACCATCTTGCCAGAGGTAGCTGAAAAAGATCAAAGAAAATAAATGAAAAAATAAGAAAAAAAGAAAGCCGAAGAAAATTCGCACAGGGCAAAGAAGTTTCGGGAACATTGCAATGTTACGCTTGCAACGAAGGTGAACATATTTCGACTGAATGTCCAAAAATATTCGCCAGATTCGTCTGTCATGATTGTTCGTTAACCCTTTGACCGCGCTAAAAACCTCAATTATTTCACGAAGACGAAGTATTTTATTCGATTCGATAAAAATTGCGAAGCAAAATTGTATACGACATCGATTACTTTTTTAACGTTTTTACCACTTGCGAATCTTAATAAAATTAACCACGTTTGAAATTGCTATTAAAATTATCCCGCGGCAGTCAATGCGTTAACCCTTTGCGCTCGAATGGCGACTCTGAGGCGCCACTACAAATTGGTATACTATTTTTCAAAATCATTCTAAGAGCATCAGACTCTTTTACACTTAAAAAAAAACTATTAAAATTGCATTGTACTTGCCAATAGGCTCAATTTCATACGCATGAATCGCAATAAATTATATAAAATAGAACTACTGTAGATCAGAAATCATGTTTTGGATTTCGAATTCAAATAGCTTCGACTGCAAAGGGTTAATACGCTGTCATTCTGTCAACGGGTCATCCAACTGCGACATCCATGGAAAATTTGACGGAACAGTTACATTGTAAGGTACCTGTAATCAAGCTATATTTAGCGATCTAAAAATCAAAGCTGAAGTACAGTAATTTCTCCCGGAAATGTCAGGAGGTTGGAATTGAAACCGGCAGATCTGAGAATATGTGCTAAGTCGCGATTCTTCGAGCTTAGCGGCTCGTTTTTAGAAAAACTCGGGGCAGTAGGCAAAAAGAAGCAGCGACCAGCATATCGGCGAACATTAACACTGGAACTACCGAGCCCTAAATGCAACTAATCTGCATTGGTTCACAACAATAACAAGATTGGATGTATTTAAACTTCCGCACGGCTGCTATTATAATATACGGTTTAATAAAAGAGTTTATGTAAAAAATGTTCGTAGAAACATTTTTATGATATCAGGAATTGTTACAGAAAAGAATCAGTAACCGGTTATTTATTTTGACTGGCTCGGTACTTCTAGCGTTAATATGAACACATAGTAATGTTAGGATAAAAACGATGACGTGACTTTTTTATTTCTAATTTTTTGCCACGATTCGAAGGCAATTCGAAGGCCACATGACACGGTCCGACAGTCGCGTAACTAGGGTAGTGCATTGTAGCTCCGCGATTTTTCTTACCGAGTCACACACACAACGGACTATTTTTTATTGTCTTCCGGGAATCGCGTGCGGTCGTCAATACCTGTTTTTCACATCTTTCGAGATGTTCAATATCTATTTGACATGTCATTGAGACATCTATAATTTATTTCATATTAGAAGTTATTAAAATAATAACACATCAATAATATTAAACTAGTGTAATCATTTTCATTTTTCATGCTCGTCAGTGGTGACTGGAACGATTTCGCGTTCTATCTTCTATTTTACAAACGATCCATGTAAATAATTAGACAATCATACGACAAAACAAAAGACTTGTAACGTTACAACAAGACAAAACTGCAGTCAGTTACTTCACCAGTATTCTACAGAAAAGCCTAGCAGCAGTCAGCAGTCAGCAGT